TACCAGAGAGAGAGTTGATGAATGTTGTTCGGTGAGAATGCAAACAGCCTACCACTCTTTACATAGGTTTTACGATTCATAATCCTTTCATTTTTAGGATTTTGTTTATTTTATTTCCTTTTTTCATATGATTATTGATCGAAGATTTCATCTGTTTTTTTCGTAGATTATTATTGTTTTTTCTTTTTGGACTTGGATTTCACCTCTTATCTTGCAATGCAAACTATTGTTTTTCATTTTAGTTTTGCAAAATTTTAGTGTGCGTGTTTATTTTAAATTACAATCAAAGTGCGGAGCCATCAAGGTGAGTTAGGTTTGGAGCGAGAAGGTTTTGGAGGTCGAAGAAGTTGGAGAACAAGAGATTGATTTTTTAGATGGTTTGGTTTCAGTAATTTTGTTGGTTTCATCAGTTAAACGATACGTTTTATGAATGGTGGATTGTGAATGAGATGAAACAATGGTGGATGAGGAGATGAAAAGAAATTTTAATGATAATAAGTTGAGAATTTTGTGTTTCGACTTTTGTCTAATTGGATTATTCATCTTTATCTTTAAAACTGTAGTGAGAATGAAAAAATTTAAAGACAAAACTTGAAATGTAATAAAGTGAAAGGTGTGCATGATCTTATATAAAACTCCCAGGAATATTTACGTGTATAGGTACTTTCCTAAGCAACGGTACTTTATAAGGGAGGGTGACTTTGTGTAAAGTTTCAGATACATACATTAAGACGAATTTGCCGCTCTAAGGGAAGAAATCATATATTCAATTTTTCATTTAATCTGAACTGTCCAAAATTATTTAATCTAGTGACTTGGATGGAAGTGGTGTTTTCTTAATAGATGTGATCTCATCCGTCTAACCTCATTAAAAGCAAACGGTTCAGATCGTTTGATAGTTTGTGTGGCTGTAAATAGATATTATCTTACAGCTTGTAAACATTAAAGGGAAAGTAAAAACATATGTGATATTGGGTTTTAGGTTTAAAAGCATCAGCAACGGTGAGATCTTAGGGCATCTTTATCGCGCATATATTAGTGAGTCCTTAGCTTAATAGGT